AAGCCAACACTGTCATTACTTAGTTTCTCACGTTGACAGGTTGAATGTGTAAACCCTCATTTGGAATGTGTTACCATCAAAAGGCATTAAGCGTTGTTTTGCTGTAGCATATTACAGTCCATCGACGGGAAGCTGAAAATGCCTATCGCCGGACTGATTATTACAAGATCTCCCAGGAATACCAGGTGCCCTTGCAGAAATATTTAATGAGGTTATTTCTTTCATTTGGCAAGTCTGTTTGTGTTAGATTCATCATAGAAAGATCAACTGAACATACGCTATACACGTATGGGTACACATGTGAATTAGATTCAGTTTTCTATAAAATATGACCTATACAAAGTGCGAAATATCCAATGAAGCAGCAAAACTTGTCATTAATTACACTTCATAACTTTGAAATTTGCATTTAACTTGTTTGGAGCGATGTGATATAATTGAAATATTGTTCAAAACAGCGTTAGCCTCAACCCACTATGATTTTATGCATATGTACCTCCTTCTAACATCTACAGATGCTGTTCCTTCTCCCTGAACAAAATGTCAGCGAATTGTAATTAATCTACTTTTAACATGGTCCCCCACTTCTTGCTTGTCAAATATGCTTAATATTGTCTGGAGACAGAGCAATATGTCCAATGTTGCTTTGACATATCGAATATAACTTTACAAGTCTATACAAGTCTGTACAAGTGTGCTTCAGAAAACCCGCCCCCGTCATGATTCATGGCTGTTTGATTCTCAATTCCGCAATGTATTTGCAGTGTGTCTGGAAAAGCTGGCGAAGAACATTGGATATGGCACTTCGAACCATTTAATCTTGTGTTTGCGTAATCAACGTCCCATGCTGAACTTTGTTATCAAATAAGTGGACTCAGTGGTCGCTGTCCGCCCGAAACCAAACTTCAGAATCGTTCAGATGTAACAGGACTCGAGTTTAATCCGTGTGTAGGTGTAATAAATAACAGTAAATTAGTTCACTTATACAGATGTTGATTGAAGTTGATGTTTATAATGTACCGCTGCCTCATCATATTATTATTTGGGAGATGAGCTTTGAATCTGGGAAATATGAGGTAAAGGCACTAAGATGCTACGGACTTTAGAAGTGAACTAATTGAAGCTAAATGTGTTCGATTTTACATCGCATTTATCATTTCATGTCATCATGCTTGCCTTCTGGGCTATTATCTTCTTTAATTTTATTACTGTCATTAAACCATGATATTGCAGATTTTCCACAAATCCTTTCCCGAGCATAAATGGGTACTGGAGATCAAACGTTGAACATGATATCCCTCTTGGACTTTGTAATACCCACCTTCTGCAAATACCACTTCATACTCCGAATCCAATAATACTGATTGTGTTACTCATAGTTTCCGATCATCAAGAGTAAGAGGCAGGCACGTTGCCCCCCTCCACTTCTAATAAGACTCCTCTTTAATTAGATATCTGCTGGTTTTCAGCTCATGTCGTGGCTTATTAAGCTTAACTGTGTCAACGAACAGGAAATATAGCTCTCCTATCTAATAACAGTAATGCAATTTAAATGATTATGGAAGTGGTACAACTGGTCCGAAGCCTCGTGTTGGTTTAATCCAAGGCTCTTAAGGGCAACTCATTGCTTTGATGTCCTTAGGGAGAGAGGAACAAGCGGTTTGTAAGAGGGAGTGATTTTATTTACTGTAACGAAGAAATTACCAATTGATGTTTATCACTCGCCCGTGCCATGAAAGAGATGTATTGATTGATTGAAAAAAACAACACTGAATACATCGATTTTATCTTAACTGTGAACCTCCCTAATTGACGAATGCATCATTTTTGTATTGTGAAGGAAACTGACGTTTTTCTCCTGTAGGAGGCTAGTTAAGGCCACGGAAATGCCATGAGTATCAAGTCGTTGAAGAACCAGTAATCGCAATGGTAGGAGTTGAGCGTAGTTATAGCCGGCGTACTAGCAGCAATAGTAGCCGTCTTAGAAGTTACCGTTGGAGAAGTCGCTGTTGTCAAGTCACTTTGATGAAATGGAAGAGGGAAGATGAAGGTTGCCTGTTGGTTGCATTTGCGTGTATTATGTGTATGTTTGTCAAGAGGTCAAATGATGATACAGATGTCAGCTACAGCTGTAACAACCTGCGTCAACACCTGCTTATGTTCATAAAGATTAAAGGGACAGTTTCAGTACACAATATGATAGGTTTGAACTTTATCATCACAATTAACAGCAGACAGGCTGGAAGGCTCTATGAAGTGGACACAACACTACAAATCTATGAACATTATATGGCTTTGTTCGCACCAGATTCCATGAATTACACTTCACAGCAAAGAGAAGTCAGTATAAGGTCCCATAATCTTAGAAATAGAAACATTGTTAATAATAATGCTTTATTTTCGGACTGATGCCCATATTACCAATATCATACTCTATACCAAACTCCTTAATGTCTGAGCGTCCGCCCGGAGAGCGGAAGGTCGCGGGTTCGATCCCCGGCCGCGTCATACCAAAAGACGTTAAAATATGGTACTTGTTGATGCCTTCCTCGCGATTGGCATTAATGAGTACAACAAGGACTGGTCGACTCGGAGTCAGTATAATGTGTCTGAGTGGGGTATTCATGCTTCACTGCGGCATGGTATCTCAGTGGGCTAACACTATAAAACCAGCTTAAGTCTGGGCTAGTACAAGCAGCCGCACATACACATACACACGCATGCACATCGTCATATCAGCGAAATATTCTCAAGCACGACGTTAAACCCAATTTCACACCTCACACCCCACCCCACCCCACCCCACCCCACCCCCTTAATGTGGAATATAGGATTTTCTTCTACTCATGATTTATGTGTGGATATATAAACATCAATAGGTATGTCAGCCAGAAATACATTTACCTCATTCTTTTTTCTTTATGAGTATGCAAAAGCAAATATGTTTTGTATAGCCGTGGTTAAATGAGTTGTTGTTGTTTTTCTGGAGAGTCCAAAATGCAATGCCATCAGAATATTAATGCATACAGCTGGAAGTCCCTCGTATGTTGCGGTTACTTCCTTATGAGGATGCATCTTATCTGTGGTGTCGATTGACGTGTTCTGTTAGTGAGTGAGTGATGCAGAGGCGGCATCTCAGTAGGTAACTTGCTCTTAACTTCATCACAGCCGATGGCTCCAAAGTAGAGTTTTACGCCGCTTTAGTAATATTCTAGCAATATCACGGCGGGGGACACCAGAAAAGGGCTGCACAAATTGGACCCACATGGGGAATCAAACCCGGGTTATCAGCGTGACGAGCGAACGTTTAATCACTAGGCTACCCAACCGCCCGCAGACTCGGTGAACACATTTGTATTCGTTGGACGAGATGTCATCGGCTGATGTGTTATTTGGTTGTATCCCATTACGTGATATTAATAAGAACACACATATTATACGGAACAGGCCCAGGCTGTCTATGAATACTAACTCGAATGATGTGCAATATGTATCAATATTGTCAGGTAATATTACACAGTCCGTTGGTTCTAATGATTTTCTCACACCACACATGTGATGCATACCGAAGTCATCAGTTAGCTACTGCCTGGCTACATCCATTGGACATTATTTCCGAGAACGTGGATAGAACACCCACATTATCAGTGTTAAGTGACAAGTCAGACTGGAAACATCAGCCTATGCGGGGAAGTATGCCGCTCAACTTATATTGAACTCTAGTCCACTTGGTTTTGCAAGAAGCGTAGAAGTTGCAGTAACAGTAGCATAAGCAGCAGCATAAACATCAGCATCTCTAACGGCAGAACAGCAGCAACAGCAGGAGAACCTGTAGGCGATAGAACTATTTTTACTTTTGCATATCCCACGTTTCGTGGTAGTATTCCCTCGCCTAATTGAACGGAAACATTTTTAGGCCATGGGGGCGAATGAGGAAAACTGTAGACCCTATCGACCACGTCTCACAGAGTACACATGGTCGGGGAGATGCGGATTCTAGGCATATTACCAAAATAGAATTGTCAGACTCGAATAACCTTTGTTACATGACCCGCGTCCCATGTCTGACGAATATCTCTTGGCAAGGTTAAGGCAGGTGAACAAACAATTAGACTCACAGAGTCCTGAGCGAAGCAAGGGCCGATCTGTCTGACCTCTCCACAGAAAAGAACGTTTGTGATAGAAGGTCTCGGTTGGCCTTTTTTATTGTGGAATAAAGAACAGAAATACCACCATTTAGTCAACGAGATGTCACCGGCGTGTAGAGTGGTCGTAGATATTACAATTGATGTCTTTCAGTCGCATTTAGAAGTTGTACATTGATGATGTCCAAGATATCCAGCAAATATCGACTGTCACAAAATAACTTAAAGTGACTTTGGTTTAAGGCCGTTTTGCACTGTATCAGTTACATCGCGACGTTTCATGTTGATGCAGGAGGAACTCCCTGGTTTGTAGACGTGTTTCACTTTGGCACGATAACAATATATGGACGAACAACTCCTTTATTTGCAGTGAGAGTGACGTTTCGGTGTATAACGTTCTAACACCGTTATCAAACAAGTGTATCGCTTTTTGGTGAAACCAGTATACATGATCAGGTGAAGGTAGCATTATAAGGGACATAACGAATGCGTGTAACTGAGCATAAAGTAGATTTATTTTTGTGCGTACATACATGTGAATTAGATGTCCTCTGTGTATGTCACTGTCAATAAAGAAAGGGAATTTTGGAACATCATGAAACCTGGGCGTTTTATCAATTGACCGCATTGGTACTTGCTTTTACAGCGTCTGGTGCTATGCATTAATGAGGTAAAACAAAACAATGGACTCACGCATATATCACCCGCCCTCACTCACTCACTTTCACTCACTCACCCACCATCATTTACTCACTCACCCACCTACTCACCAACCCCAACTTACTCAGTCACTCACTCACCATCCTCCTACTCGCTCATTCTCTCAACTAACTGACTCTGTTTACTTTGTTTCAGTCTGTCTCCAGATGGCAGGAGGAGTGTTCGCATTTTACGGAAAGACATCAATGTCATCATTTAGCATCATACAGTCTTTCAGTAATACGTTTCACATGCCCTATATATCATTCAGTCTGTCGGGAACCACAGACAGTCAACCAAAACCATATGTGATATTTGTGAAACCTTCGTATGTGGATGCCATGGCGGACTTAATCAAAGCATTCAGATGGACGCAATTGGATTACCTGTACGATTCAGATGATGGTAAGTAGTGACTGTGAATTCTTTCACATTTACTTTTACAGGAAGGAAAGTTTCCTCAGTACCGAACTACCTAACATAGTTTAAATATATGTAAGGGAACAGGCGGCCCAGTGGTTTAAGTAGCCGCTGTTCACATGTTCGCACCATGATCCCGTGCTTATTGTTTCCCATTCGCTAGCGATTCTGATCTTTGCACACACTTGTCAGAACCGTCTAAACTGTACACGTTATGAAAACGTTACCTGGCTGAAAACAGTCACCGAAAGACTGCACACGGTAGGTTAAGAACAAAACATACCAAGATACTTGTTTACTATACATCGAGTCGCTGTTTCTTGTTTGTCAAATCGCCCGTCAAATTATATGATGGTTGGTATTACTGAAATGGTAAATGTTCTCGACGGCCTCCCTTATGCCCGGACGTGACACAACATAAAGGCTAACAGAAAGCAGAGTCAACAATGATGACAGCCGCACTTCGTTATCCTGAACTCCTGGAACCAGACCACCGTCTGGGTGTATGGCAACAATGGCATTGTCCTGGCTACCGCATCACTCGGTAATCATCATTGTCAGTGAAATTATATGGTAACACGACACACTGAAACGGGATATGACATTATCAAGACTTGGATAATGCCTTTAAAAGAAAAGAATGTATTTAAGAAAGTATTAAAGACTGCAATGCGAGATCTTGTTCAGAAGGTGTTTGGTCATTCACATTGTAATCTTTCAAAAGGTTTCTAAGTACACTTGTGAAGGTTGTTTATAATGGTTGATGCAATTCCCTATTTTGACTTGTACCATAGTTTCCCGTACTTGATGAGGTGCACTCTTGCTTTGCCATTGCATGTGATTGGGACTATAGTCATTGGTGGGATAGAATGGAATACGCTCATTATATGAACCCAATTTCCATTTGAATATGCATATATGCTTTCTCAGTATAGTGACCTCTAAAGGTACAAACGACAAAAACCTTTAGCAGAAGCGTTAGTGGTAGTGGTAGTGATGGTAATGGTGGTGGTAATGGTAATGGTAGTGGTAGTTGCGGTAGTAGTAGCATCAGTAACAGCAGCAGCAACACCAGTAGTGGTAGTGGTTGTAGTAGTAGTAGTAGTAGTAGTAGTAGTAGTAGTAGTAGTAGTAGTAGTAGTAGTAGTAGTAGTAGTAGTAGTAGTAGTAAGACTAATAGTGGTGGTGGTGACAATTCAAATTAGCTACATGACTGGATTTAATTTACATGCATTTGCCATCACTATCCACATTTTAGTGATCCTGTGCCTTGTGTACATCATATCGTCAATGGGACTGCACAAGGGCCCCAGATAACACCTCATATTGCAAGTGGAGGTGTACTGAGAATTTTGAAGGAGTACTGACATGTTTTACTGTGAGCGAGTTGGCGATGTGGTTTGTTATTTATACTAATAAACAACTTTTCAGCTATTAAACTTTATATATGTTAGACGTACACGGGTATATATGTGTGTGATACTTATATTATGTCGTACTTCATTGATTTTTAGGCGCCTGTACGCCCCTTATCTGCAGCCCTGTACACAACCGGTACTGTACACGATACGTGTGACACCACATTTGCATTCCAGACTGTTAGAATCCGATACTCGTATTGGTTCGAATCCCAGGGTCAAACTGATTATAATTAATTAGATATTTATATAGGACCCATATCCACGCACTAGTGAATGCTCACGGCCCTGGTATTTTCCCCCTCGATCATCGGATGTCAATCTCAACGGCACATCTTATTATCAATCTCAACTCCATGGGGATCATACAACTTTTGCTGCCACAAGGCGCACCGAGTTATTGCGGTTTTCCCATTATTACGAGGTACCCATTCACAGCTGGGTGGACTGGGACACATAGTCACAGTACTTTGTCCAAGTTTACTGCACGTTGCTGTACCCGTAACTAGGTGTTTGCACGAATTCATGTGTCCACCATCTGGTCATTTACCAACGAATTCGTGGATTCTTTTAAGTGCACAGGGTTGTGTACTGTACACTATTTGTTCTGACAACACTGAAAGAGTCTGCACACAAAGTTGACTCCAAGGCTTTTACACCCTGTCACAGGTGGGCTCGATCCAGGCACCTCATGCCCGCTGGATGACTAGCTTCGCGCCTTAGCCAGCTCGCTCACCACGCCCCATTATGACCCCTGGTTTGTCTGCACCAAGCCCGTGACCGTGGGTGTGACTAGTAGGGGTGACTGTTGAGGGGGAAACAACTATTGTGATAGCGATAGTCTATTGCAACATACTATTGCGATAACAAAAGTCTATTGCTACCAACTATTGCAATAATATTGCAATAGTTTGTTTTTTCTCAGGCTCCATGAATAGTCTCATTTGAAGTCATTCCCAAAATGAGTGTATAGTTTAAATGAAATAAATACAAGCTGAAGTAGTTTCAGTATCTTCTAATAACTGACAAGAAACATGAAACCCAGATCAAGTAAGAGGTTGACACATAAACTCAATGAAGCTGCAAGTCTGCACCGAAACATCCTGTATTTTGCGCTGAGCATTTATCAACGGAAGTCACTTTCTAAACTATCGATAGTCACACATAGTATCGATGCATCGATAGTTTTTCGATTCTACCATCGGTTAATTGCTATCGGAGACTTAAAAATTGCAATCCATCGATAGTTCGATGCATCGGTACAGCCCTAGTCACCAGTGTGGTAATGCCATCAACCCTCAACATCGCGCTGTCCTCTCACGTCAAGGTTCCACGTTATGCTTTAACTGAGATACTGTTTCACTATATATCATTCACCGTGTTCATTTATTGAATAGCGTCAGTGAACATAGCAAGCATGTGAACGATCCAAACATAAACGCATTTTCCATTCTCCTGCAACTACATCCATAAAAGCCAACTCCGACCAACGTCTCCAAGTACCACTATGGAGGGAATTTGAACCACACTTGAGTTTGACCGAATAGCTTGACCAAAAACTGAGGATGATAATAACGATATATATATTTTACTTATCGAGACCAGCAACATCATATCTGTACTAAAACGTCTCCTTTATTTTCTTCTACATATATCTATTAAAGTATCCTGTATGTTATACAGTGATGTTGAAATGATATTACTCTACAAAAATTATAATATCTTAAAAACTCAAATCGAAAACTATTTATATGCTGTCATATCTCTTCTTATAGAATATATATCTTTGTCTGACAGTGACACATACACCAGGACGTATATTCCGTGTACTGTAAAATTCGTCGAACGAAAGAAAACGTTCCCCCCTCCACTCCTTGTTATTTTAGCATTGTTGAAACATGAGGGCATACAACAAAATGGGATGTAGCGTACATAATATTATTGTGTCTTTTGTTGTTAAAATGTCAGATATCAAGGTCTAGGAAGACAGCTGACTTTTGAGCAGCATTGATGAAGGTACACGCATTTGTTCTCAAGCATTCAACTGAAAAATGATTTAACTCGAAATCCACCAGTCAACTGAAAATCGAAATATGTGCAGCTCTACGAACAAGAAGTTATAGGAAGTTGCTGCACTATCTATTCGGAAAATCAACTTGAGTCAAAGATTTCTTCCTGTATAAATATTAGTAAAATGTTCAATCTAAAATCAGCATTCTCGACCCAAGTTAGCGCAGTGGTGCATTCAGTGCTTGAAATGTACAATTCTGATAAATTCACATGAATAATCTGATAATTTCACGATTCAAAGGTTTCGAAATTTTCAAAATTGCCCTACGTTACAATGCATTCATTATCTCAGTTAATGATACACTCGTCTCCATCTGTGATCCAGTGTTCCCTGCCCTGAGCCTCGGAGAGACGCCTGTCCTCGAACCCCCGTCGTCCAGGGCTTACCAGGGCTTTTTAGACAGCTCTTAGCCAGGTCCCTTAAGCCTGTCTGGAAGAACGCGGGGACTTTATCTGTCGCCATTTATGAAGACTACTTCTTTTCGTATGACACTTGTGAATCAAAATAGGGATTACTGTAAAAGTTCCCCAAGGCCCGAGATTCCCCCGGGAGAGTCGTAAAACTACGAAACCATTTATTCCTCATCTGGTTCATGAACAAGTAAATCCCAGTACAGGACACAGACGGTGGGCGTCCAACCACAAATTGTACCTAGTCTCCTTCACTAATACCACAATGCATATACGATAGACGTCTGGATTGTGTTTAAACAACCATTGGGAAGCTTCCTGTAACAAACCCATATTTATTCCATGATATTTTTCCAAAAATCGATCGCTCTGTCGGAAGATTTTGCAAATCAAACTGGCCAGTATGTTTTCATCACCATTGAAAATGAATTATGACTTCAAACCAAGACTATTATTCTGATGGGCCTTTGCTTTATTTTGCACATAAATTGCATGTAATGGGCATTATACCAAGGATCGTAATTTATACCCTGGATTTGGAAGTACCTACGTTTTGTCGTACTTGAGTATTTGGTCATCAATTACAGTGTAATGATGTGGATGTGCTTGTGCATGCGCTTATGTGAATATGTATTAGTCCGTATGTCTGCTTCATAGTGCTAACCCACAAAGGACCCGCAGTTTAATATAAATGCCTGTGGTATACACCGATTACTGACTCCGAACTCACTGCTGTCCATATATCCCTTAAACCGAGCGGCCGGCAGGGTAACAACGTTAACATGAACCATCCTTGAACGTTTAGTGCTGAGACGAACCACCGACTATCAAACCTACACGCAGACGCTCTAGCCATGTATGTGGTTCATTTGCTTAAGGATATTGGTACATAAACATAACTACGTCATTTTGTGTCATCATTCAGATAAACGTCATCGGTTCTCGAAACCCCAGCATAGTTTTGAAGGAAATATGTTGAGACGTACTTGAAGTACCTCTAGTAATCTTGTAGCTCATGCAATCTCTCACATAGCAATCTGCACAGCAGCTTTATTGGACTCAGACACCGGTTCTCATATATTCGCA